GAAACAAAAAACTCACTAGAGAGGCCCAACAGCAGCTTTGAGTAGGAGGAAGAAAGGATCAGAACAGGAGGAAGAAAGGATCAGAAAACTTGCAGATAAGATAAATGAAATAACCTACACTTAAAAAAACAAAAAAAGAATAAAGATAAATGAACATATCCTGAGGGACCTGTGGAACATCATCAAGCATACCAACATATCCATTACAGAAGTCCCAGATGAAGAGAAAATGAAATGGCAGAAAAATTTTTTAAAGAAATAATGGTCAAAATTTCCCAAATGTGAGGAAAGATATAAATATATATGTCCAAGAGGCTCAATTAACTTGAAATAGGATAAACTCAAAGAGATCCACATTGAGATAAATTATAGTCTAGTTAAAAAAAAAACTATACTACAAGGCTATAGTAACCAAAACAGCAAGGTACTGGTAAAAAAGTAGACACATAAACCAATGGAACAGACCCAGAAGTAAAACCATACACCTGCAACCAACTGATCTTTGAGAAAGCAGATAAAAACACACACTGCGGAAAGGATACCCTATTCAATAACTGCTGCTGGGAAAATTGGAGAGCCACATGCAGAATAATGAAACTGGATCCCTATCTCTCAACATACAAAAAATTAACTCAAGATGCATAAAGACTTAGTGTAAATACAAGATGCGATACCATCAAGATTTTAGAAGAAATCTTAAAAAATATTCTTATGGACATTGGAATTACTCTTATGGACAAAAGAAATAATCAACAGAGTAAATAGGCAACCTACAGAATGCTAGAAAATATTCAGACTATACATCTGACAAAGGACTAATATCCAGAATCTACAAAGAAGTCAAAGAAATCATCAAGAAAAAAACAAATAACCTCATTAAAAAGTGAGCAAAAGACATTTACTGACATTTTTCAAAAGAAGATATACAATGGCAAGAAAACATATGAATAAAAGTTCACTGTCACTAATCATTAGGGAACTGCAAATTAAAATCACAATAAAATACCATGTTATCCTTGCCAGAATGGTCACTGATAAGAAGTCAAAAAACACTAGATCTTGTGTGAATGTCATGAAAAGGGAATGCCTACACACTGTTGATAAGAATGTGAATTAGTACAACCTCTATAGAAAAGAATATGGAGATTCCTCAAAAACTAAAAGTAGACCTATCATTTGATCCAGGAATCCCATTACTGGGTATCTACTCAAAGGCAAAAAAGTCATTATATCAAAAAGACATTTGCAGATCTGCACCTCTCACCACTCATAAAAATCAACTCGTGATGGATAACAGACTTAACCTAAGGCATGAAACCATAAGAATTCTAGAAGAAAATGTTGGAAAAACTCTTATAGACATTGGCCTAGGCAAAGAATTTATGAAGAAGACCCCAGAAGCTATAACAGCAACAAAACTAAATAAACAACAAAAATAAATAAATAGGATCTGATCAAATTAAAAAGCTTCTGCATAGCCAAGGAAACAATCATTACAGCAAATAGACAACCTACAGAATGAGAGAAAATATGTTCATGCTGTAGATCTGATAAAGGGCTGATAACTAGAATCTATAAAGAACTCAGGCAAATCAGCAAGAAAAAACCAAACCACCCCATTAAAAAGTGGACAAAAGACATGAGCAGAAACCTTTCAAAAGAAGATAGACTAATGGCCACCAAACATGAAAAAAATGGCCAACATTGCTAATCATCAGGGAAATTCAAATCAAAACCATAATGAGATGTCACTTAACTCCAGTGAGAATGGCTTTTATCAAAAAGTCCCAAAACAACAGGTGCTGGCATGAATGTGGAGAAATAGGAACATTCACGCACTGCTGGTGGGACTGCAAACTAGTACAACCTCTGTGGAAGGGAGTATAGAGATACCTCAGACAACTGAAAGTAGAATTACCATTTGATCCAGCAGTCCCACTACTAGGTATTTACCCAAAGAACAAAAGTACATTCTATACAAAAGACACCTTCACTTGAATGTTTATAGTGGCATAATTCACAATTGAAAAGATGTGGAAACAACCCAAGTGCCCATCAATACATGAATGGATTAATAAAATATAGTATAAGTATACCATGGAGTGTTACTCAGCCATAAAAAAATGGTGACCTAATACCTCTTGTATTAACCTAGATGGAACTGGAGACCATTCTCCTAGGGAAATATCACAGAATGAAAAAACAAACACCACATGTACTCACCATTAAATTGAAACTAATTGATCAACAGTTATGTGCACATATGGATGTTATTTACATTCATCAGAAATCAAGTAGATGGCAGTGGGCAGAGGGGATGGGTGAATTCACACGTAAGGGGTACAATGCACACTATCTGGAGGATGGGCACACTTATAACTTTGAATCAAATGGTGCAAAAGCCATTTATGTAACCAAAATGTTTGTACCCCTGTAATATTCTGAAATTTAAGAAAGTAAAAAGAAAAAAAGAAAAAAATTTCCTTTCATTATACAATGGGATTTTAGTCAGCTCTAAATAAAGCCATGACCAAGGGTAAAAAAAAAAGAGAGAGAGAGAGAAAGACATCTGCAGTTATATGTTTATTACAACACAATTCACAATTGCAAAGATGTGGAATCAACCTAAGTGCCTATCAACTGATGAGTGGATAAAGGAAATGTAGCATATGTATACCATGGAATACTACCTAGCCATGAAAAATGAAATTTTGCAGCAATTTGGATGGAATTGGAACACATTACCCTAAGTAAACTATCTCAAGAATGGAAAAATAATACCATATGTACTCACTTATAAGTGGGAGCTAAACTATGGGCATACATTATCATGTAGAATGGTATAATGCATTTCGGAGACTGAGAAGGGGGGCTGGTGTGAAGGGGGCAAGGGATCAGAAATTACCTGTCAAATACAATGTATACTATTAGGGTCACAGTTACACCTAAAGTCCTAACTTTACCACCATACAATTCATTCACGTGTCAACAAACCACTTGTACCCACAAATCTATTGAAATAAAA